GGTCGATGATTGATTGATTGATTGATTGATTGATTGATTGATTGATTGATTGATTGATTGATTGATTGATTGATTGATTGATTGATTGATTGATTGATTGACTATTAGCTCCCTGAATCCTAGTATTGAAACCTACAGATTACAGTCCCTGTAGAAATATACAGTTAAACATTATATACGTTTCATTATTCTCATTCTGATATTCTTCTTCTTCACGCTGACCAGCTGCAAACATGAGCGGAAAGTTCCCGTCTGTAGTCCACGTCTGGACTTTGTTCTTGTTATAGGACTTGTATTTTGCGTAAACATCCCTTTTTACAGATCTGGTGCGGACTGTTGGTCCCTCGCCTCTCAGGCAGATGCACTTCGACTTTGAAGAAAAAGTCACTTCGGTTGGTCCAGTACTGGACAGAAGCGACGTTATTAATGCCATGCGCAGAAGACGAATACGGACAAGGGTATGATGTCGTATCCCTGGCCAGGCGGATGAACATGGGGGGTGGGGTGGCAGCCTAGAGCTGCAAGAAATGAACTTTTCACCAATCGGGCAAGACATTGGATTAATCAAAACAGAACAGGCGTCATCAGTCGTTTTACGCTTGTGGTGCTTTTGAGGAGATTGGAGCACCTATGGATCTGTCCGGAGTGCTGTGATGATAGTGCTCACCAATCACAGCAAGAAAGATGAGCTAATGAATTTTGATAAAGAGGCTAAAATAACCATATTACCAATAAATATTACAGTAAAGATCCCTTGTCACGTCTTTAGGTGCGTCGGGCATATGGGAAAAGCACCCATGTTTTTACAGACCAGTCGGCACTGGGTGGGTAATATGGTCAGCATTACGCCAAATGTTTTTACTTCCCCAGGACATAAATTCTGGTACCCATTTTAGGCTGGGTCGACCTGCGACACCCCGTACCGTGATAAAAATCCAAGCAGCCAGAAGTGGGTTTCGATCGCAGTACGTTGGAATTACGAGTGGGACTCGCAACGCTTAAGCCACCGACGCCGCACCAATAAATATACGACAGATAAATGACACAGAAATCAGTAGTAGTACTAGTAGTTGTAGTACATTTTTTCCTATTAGGACATCACAAAAATGATAAACACCCAATGACACAAAGTGCCATCATGTGGATGAGGATCACCCGTAGAAAAGTCCCAAAAACAGCGCTCAGCCATTAGACCATATTTATGGCCGGGCTACATTGCGGCCCCTGGCAAGAGCCAGGGTGGGGCTTCAAAATAACGAAACATTGAATCCCACAAGGAGAATAATACAATATGTTAGTTGCGTATCATTTACAGGACGTTGCAGAACCAACCCCAGCAGCCCCTGGCTGTTGTGTGGTTTCTCTAGGCAAATTTACCTCCAGTGATTTGCCATTGCTTCTGGACGGTCGGCCTCCTGATACCATTGTCGAAACTAACGTAAGGCGCATGGCCGGCAACTGGGATCGACCCCGGCACCCCGGCATTACGAAGCGTTCGCATCGACTTAGCTACAGACAATACAATAAGACGACCCTTTATTTTGTAATGACAGAAATCAGGGGAGGCAATCAACTCATTAGCAAATAATATGGCGACTGGTGATAGGGATATTACTGCAGAATGTCTATGAATTTCATGAACTTTATGTAAACGCATGAAATCTGATGTTTGGAAAAGTTTCCATAACTCAGTTTAACGTAAGCGTGTTGACTGTTTGCTCTGAATCAGTGTCTGTTTTTCATACACCACACATAAGGCAAAATTAAAAACTAGATATTAGTTGCAATTTTTTTTAAATCAAATTTACAAGGACATGATTATTAACAAGATCACACATTCTTCATTTCGTCCTTCTTAGGACGTTATTTTTTGTTATTTGAAGCCCCACTCTGGCTTTTGCCAGGGGCCGCAATATAGGCAGGTCATCATTATGGCCAAATGTCTGAACGCGGTTTCTGGGACCTCTCCACGGTGATCCTCATCCGCATGGTGGCACTTTGTGTCATCGGGTGTTTATCGCTTGTGTGATGTCCTGGTGGGGTAAAAAAATTCAATTCAATTATTAACAAGTTGTATGCCAGGTTAGAACGAATAGTGAATGAGTAACAGATTTTTAAAGTTGGGCAGCAAATTAACAGTAAGTGAAAATTTCTCTAATAGCATACTGGCTGAGGAAAAACACCCCCTAAATCAATGGAAGTAAGAAACAATAGTAGTTAGTCGTCCCCCATGTGGGATGCAATTTTCCTTATTTGGAGCCCTACCCTGGCTTTTGCCGGGGGCCCTGAATATAATAATAGGTTAGTTACATGACGTTGCAGAACCAACCCCAACAGCCCCTGGCTGTTGTGTGGTTTTTCTATGCAAATGTACGTCCAGTAGTTTACCCTGAATATAGCCGGGCTATAAATATAGGCTAACGTCTGAAAGGGGGTTTCTGGGACTTCTCCAGGGGTGATCCTCATCCGCATGGTGCCACTTTGTGTCACCGGGCGTTTTTCGCTTGTGTGATGTCCTGGCCGGGTACAATAAGAGAGGGAGGGAGGGAGAGAGAGAGAGAGAGAGAGAGAGAGAGAGAGAGAGAAAGAGAGAGGGAGAGAGAGAGAAGTAATTGCTAAAATTCAAAAGAAAAATAATCATAGGGAAGAATTACCCGATACCATATGTCCAAGACTTTGTGGAACAACATTTCAATGGAATTAAAAGGGTAATGCATAAAATGCTAAGGGGACAGCCAGCAAATTTTCGACGTAGAAGAGGTTGCCTTAGATCTAATAATTACAGTGAGACGTATTTTAGACGAATTTGAATAAAAGCAACCCCTTGATTTGAATTGCATCGACTTTAAGAGTGCTTTTGATAGCTTACACAGAGCATGACTGTGAGGGCTTTTGGGATGCTGTGGTATACCATTAAAAATGATAAACATTATTTAAGCAATATGTGAGGGCTCAATGCGTGCAGTGCAAACAAATGATTGTTTAAATGACTGGTCTGCAGTTCAAAGTGAAGTGTGTAACAGGCTGGAAAAACTACTACTGTTTAGCAGCTCAACGATTTTGTTTGATCTGGTTTGAAAATGACAAAGAGAAGACAGGTACAGCTTTTAGCTTTAGAAAGTAAAATCAGGAAAAATCTGGCCACTGGCTATTCAAACGTCCGACCGACTGATTATTGGCCTCATTCTATTTGGCTGTCGCTCCGGCTTGCTATGGTCAAGGCGCCCTGTTTGCCGTTGTTGGCTGCACTTGGTCTCAACGCACGCTCAGGTGTGTCAGATCGGACCGGCTGAGCGACGCTAGACTGGCTCGTGTTTGCGATAATGATAAGTTTCTTTTGGTTAGTGAAGTGGAACAAGAATTATTTTATTTCTCATCTTATTTGGTATAACCATTGACTGGATGTTGGAAACACTGGTATTAACTTGCTTGGAAATCACACAGTTAGAAGATCTTGATTTTGAAGATGACTGACTGACTGACTGTCTACCCCACCAGGATATCACACAAGCGACAAACACCCGATGACACAAAGTGCCACCATGTGGGTGAGGATTACCGTGGAGAGGTCCCAGAAACCGCGTTCAAACAACTAGCCACATTTATGGCCTGCCTATATTGCGGCCCCTGGCAAAAGCCAGAGTAGGGCTTCAAATAACAAAAAATTACGTCCTGAAAAGGACGTAAGGGTGTAGATTCTTACGTGATTTGGAAGATGGTTTGGTTCTGCTAGGAATAGCAAGGACATGCGATAAAGAACAGATAGTTTAGCAAAAATAAGATAAACACGCTAGGCTACAAATAAGTTATGATAAGACAAATATATTAGGCATCAATAACAGATCAAGCTGATGTAACACTGGATTCATGAGTAATTAAAGTAATAGAAAAATTTACAAATTTAAGTAGTAATCTTGCTTGTTATAAAAATTTTAAGCCCGATCATGGTGTGCTTTTTTTTCAAGCTGAACCCTGGCTTATATCGGGAGCCCTAATATAGTTAGTTAGTCTTTCCTCTTAAGCCTAAGGCAGCACACAGGACAGAGGTATAGCTCCCCCTTTCCCCACTCCCTCTTCCCACCAAACCCCGAATGTTTTGGTGCCATAAATTCAGTACCGCTGCTTTGTTTATAGAGCTGTCTGACGGCTGTATTGAATTCGTAGGTGAGTCACACGCTGAACGAGAAGAAAATCCTACAGAGCGTATCCTTCCCCTTCATCGTGAAAATTATCAAGGCTTTCAAGGACACGACCAATCTCTACATGGTCATGGAGTTTGCCAGCGGAGGCGAGCTGTTCACATTGATAAGGTAAGGCTCCACAATGGAGGCGGGCTACGATGCAGCCGCTGCTTCTTCTTCTTCTTCTTCCCCTTCACCTTGTATGTACCTCATCGAAGTGTCAGGGGGGGGGGGGGTGTAGCGTTCGTTGATGAGCTCTGTCAAGAGCACTATTAAGATTAATGTTCATTTCTGTAAGACTGTTCTTAATGGCATCACTCCATATTTTCCGAGGTCTTCCATTTGCTCTATACCCTTTGTAACGTTTAAGTATGGCTCGATGTGGCAGATAGTACCAGAGCATTCTTGTTAGGTGTCCAAACCACTTCATTTGTTGTTCTTTGATGACCTGTAAGACTGGCTTTAATCCTAGCATTAGCCGCTGCTAACTATGCAAATATTGCAGAGAGAGGCTGTAATCTCTTCCATGGTGTAACTCTCGCTCCTCGTCTGAGAGCCGCCTTTGTTTCTCCTAAACCACCAATGGATCCAGTCAAAGTCCAGGATTGCATTGTGAAATGATTTCACCAAACTATAAGCCACAGTGTAGTGCTGATTTCATTACCCACAAAGGGTTAGGTTGACGTTAATCTCCCCAAACAGAGTAGGTCACTTTTCATTCACAAGTTTGTTGGGCTGGTCGACTTTCCTGAAGGTTGCGGGTGTGTCCCGCTCTGCTGTTTGCTTTCTGTGGGGTCTTGAATTTACGTTTTCATTCCGAGAAAGAGAATGCGTGTGGCATATGTTGTAGCACTCTCTATGGAGGTTGAGTTAGGACCAGTTTCTCCATGTTTTTGGAGTATTAAAAGCACTTGCGTGCTGAAATATACAACACGATATATCAACGGCATTGCGGAACACCCCCGAAACCTTGTGCCAAGGTGACCGATTTATGAACTACCAATCAGAAGTGAGCTAGTGTGTATAGGGGCAGGGCGTGGGGAGACCAACGTTACTTTTACCCCCACAAAGTATCGATTGGTCTATAAAATATAGGTCTATAGTGCGTTTCAATAGTCATACCGTCAAACTTTAACAAACATCTGGAGGACTTCTTGACGGATAAACACGAATTTGTGCATATGGCCTGAGATTTTCTTACGATTTTATAGTTTACAATTTAACAGATGCTGTTGTTTTCTTAGAAAGATATAAAACCGAACGAAAAGTATATCAGCGAGCTCCACAATATAATAAACACAAACAAAACGTTAACGTTGCTGCTATGGAGCCTTCTTCTGCACATACATAGATTATACAAAACTACACAAATACACAATATCACTTTTCTTCGTATCTCGTGGCAGCCAGGTCGATGTAAAGACAATAGTCTGGCGATGAACGTAAGTCCGGGGAAAAAATATCCGGGGATATGCCAGGAGCTGTCACTCGAGGATAAGATGAACTGCGTAGGCATTTCAGCCCCCTAGGATTTAGATGTCGTTGTGTTGGCAGTTTAGTCCACTGGGCGCCAGAGTTCCCAACGTGTATATAAAGCGATTTGTTGTTTTCTTAAAGTGCTGAATTTTTGTAATCTTTGTTTGACTAATAATTTCCGTACCTCTATCACATACAATCTTCTGTAACTGGCACACGTTTAGGAATTGTGTGGAAAGTATTTCACATGTGCACCGATGCCGGTGAATATGTTGATAGCCTATCCTGCATACGAATGCTGGAGATAACTACGCAAGAGTTGACGCTTATAAACGCATGAGATCTGATGTTTTAAAAAGTTCCCGTTACTCAGTTAAAAGTGAGCATGCTGGCCGTTTGCTTTTTAGGGAGCTGCGTGGTCTCGACTGCCAGAGATTCCGGGTTCAATCCCTAGTAAGGCCTGGGAATTTTCCACGTGGATTTGGACTTTTAATAATTCTCCTGGTGGGGGTTTAGGTTTTCTGTTCTTTGTGTCTCTTACAGTGGTTGGGGGTCTTTGGGTTGGAGTACTTTTTACTTTAGGGATATTTGTGGTGGCTCACGGGTGTTCTTCTCTGGTCTATCACGGTCGCTCTGGTGTTTTTCTTCTTTATGTCATTGGTGATAGCTCGGTTGTTTTGTGGTGGATCTGGGTTTTTCCTTTCTGTCTATCATGATGGATCGGGCATCGTTGGTGAGGAGTATTTCCTTTTTTGGGTCTACTGGTGGCGGCTCGGGGTCGTTAGCTCCTGTTTAAGATGGCTCTTTAATAGGCCGGTGCTGGCGGTAGTGGTTCAGATCCCAGATGTCAGCATGTCAGTTAGTTAGATGAAGTGCCTTTTCAGTATGATTATTGCTGTTGTTTTGTGGTTTATATAAGGTTTTCTTGGTTATATTATTAGGTAACATTGAACAAGTTTACCACACACAAAAAACGATAGCGTCGCGTCCCTTTAACATTAAGTCGTACAAAATCAAACAAACATATAGGCAGACAATTATTTGTTACGAGCACCCGCTGGAGACACTCATTCACTGCACTAACAGAGGGACCCACCGGTTGCGGTAAACCGTATATGTACTTTTTTACGTCAACAGGAAAAAAGGGCGGCTACCAGAGGAATGGGCACAGTTTTACTCGTACCAAGTGACCCTAGCCTTGCAGTACCTCCACTATTGCAGCATCTTGTACAGGGACATTAAGCCAGAGAATATTCTCATCGACCACGTTGGCTACTGCAAGGTGAGTTCCCTGTCGCTACATACTTGTGTGTGCATCTAGCCATTTTAATAGCCTGCAAGAGTGTTGTGGAGATTTTATGACATATTTTACCGCAAAGATAAGGGATTTTGTGTTTTCTAGCTTGCAATTGTAACATAACAAGTTAAGAAGAGTTTGGAGGCAATTGAGATGTGGTTCTTGAGAAGAATGTTTCCAATACCTTGGACCGTTAGAATAACTAACATCGAATGCCTGGGAATGGTTATTGAAAGTAGAGCTTTATATACAACAATAAGAAGGACACAAACAAAGCTCTTTGGTCATGTAGAACGGAGTACTTATGGGTTACTACCCTTGTGCCATCAAGTTGATTCGTTGTTTAAGCCTTAAAAATGACTATAAGTGTTCCGATCTCCTCCTAATATGTTAAGGATCATTTCTAAAGGATGATTTGCCGAGACGTCGAACAAACTGAGTATGTCTCCAAGTGTTTTTAGGCTAACAACTCCCATTCTGTTCTGGTTGATGTAACGATGGGTGGCTCTCGCATGTTTTTCTGCCTCGCGGCTCCAACTGGTACACCTAAGGTGTGATGTCTGTTAACTGAAAAATCATTTTCCACGAAACTGAAAGCCTCACAGCGTTTAGTCTCTCGTATGGCATTGATGGTGTCTCTCCTGTCCATAGAGGGCCCATCCCTGATAGTCGCGCTGTCAGCCAAAGCGTCTGCTCTCTCATTGCATGCTTTCAGTGTTAAGAGAATAGCACCGTTTGAAGAGACTGTGGCCTCAAATCTATCTTTTCTTTATTTCTGACTTCAACTGATAAAAAATCGTAGCATTGTGTGCTTGATTGTTGCCGAAAAATGTTTGTTAATGCTCCTGATGAGAAACCGTGAGATATTCCATGTAATTATTTGTGCAGTAGAAGTAAGACAAATTTTTGTCTGTGTCGGTTCCGTGACCCCATTGTGAGAAAAACAAGAATAGATCCACTTCCTCCGCAACAAACATATCCTAGAAGTCGACTAATTGAGAGCTTCCTTCCAAGTCGGAGTGCATCTACCCGAGCGGCAAGGAACAACCAGCTGCACACAGATAAGCCAGTAGAACGGATGTACACGCACACAATTCAAATGGAAGAACAACCAGGACTTCTTGCTAGAGCTTGCATCTGGTGAACAGAGAAGATGAAGAATATTTAGAATTACAAGGAGGAAAGAAAATGAGAATTTGGCGATACATGGGATGAAACAAGAATTGCTTCGAGAAATATCTTTTAAAGAAAACAGAGACAAGTGGAATATTTTGAACACATTAAAAGAAAATTTTTTTTAAAGCCATACTGCGGGAATTTAATGTAAGCAAATAAGCTGCATTTCAGAAAAAGAAAAATATCCTACGCAATAAATCGCTCTCATTTAATGTCAGAAAGAGGGTGTTAAAATGTTACATAGAACCTGTTTTGCTATATGGCAGCGAATCTTGGAATGTCACTGAACAACATAAGAAGTATTTGGAAGCAACAGAGAAGTGTTTTTTGAGATGAATGTTACGAATACCTTGGACGGCCAGAGTAACTAACAACGATTGCTTGAAAGAAGCTAATGAAAGAAGATGTCTATATATAACAATAATAAAGAGACAAACACTTTTCTTTGGCCACATAATGAGAAGAGAGACATTAGAGAACATCGTGACAACTGGAAAGATCAGTGGAAAAAGGGGTAGAGGCAGACCAAGAGAGATGATGCTGGATGGGCTGAAACGATACCATGCAGGGATATCATCAAGAGCTGCTCCAGACAACCAGGGATCGTGATCTGAAGAGACGATTGAGCGCCTGAGCAAGTTGGCAAGGCACATGATGATGATGATAATGAAAAAAAAGGTGAATATCGATACAAGTGGGAGGATAACAATTTTTTTAATTCACAATTCAACAAAAGTTCTTTTGAATGCTATTCTTGTCTCTTCTCCTGTAACGTTAATTCTCGTCGAAATTCATTAATATTTTTCTTCATTATCTTCTTTTCCTTCCTCTTTTTCTTCTTCTTCTTCCTCTTTTTCTTCTTCTTCTTCTTTTTCTTCCTGTTCTTCATCTTCTTCTATTCTTCTTCTTCTTCTTCTTCTTCTTTTTCTTCTTCTTCTTCTTCTCCTTCTTCATCATCATCATAATCATCTTCTTCTTCTTCTTCTTCTTCTTCTTCTTCTTCTTCTTCTTCTTCTTCTTCTTCTTCTTCTTCTTCTTCTTCTTCTTCTTCTTCTTCTTCTTCTTCTTCTTCTTTTTCTTCTTCATCATCTTCTTCTTCTTATACTTCTTCTTTTTCTTCTTCTGCTTCTTCTTCTTCCTCTTCCTCTTCTTCTTCTTTTTCTTAATCTTTTTTTTCTTCTTCTTCACCTTCTTCATCATCATCTTCTTCTTCGTCTTCTTTTTCTCCTTTTTCTTCTTCTCCGTCTTCTTCTTCTCCGTCTTCTTCTTCTTCTTCTTCTTTCTTCTTCTTCTTCTTCTTCTTCTTCTTCTTCTTCTTCTTCTTCTTCTTCTTCTTCTTCTTCTTCTTCTTCTTCTTCTTCTTCTTCTTCTTCTTCTTCTTCTTCTTCTTCTTCTTCTTCTTCTTCTTCTTCTTCTTCTTCTTCTTCTTCTTCTTCTTCTTCTTCTTCTTCTTCTTCTTCTTCTTCTTCTTCTTCTTCTTCTTCTTCTTCTTCTTCTTTTTCTTCTTCTTCTTCTTCTTCTTTTATTTTTTCAGCTTCTGTGTCTACGTCATCTACCAATCTCTCTACATTCCATAAACATTGCAGTCTTTTAGCTCTCGTGATGTCAGTATTGTCTGTGTTAACTCCGTCGGAAAATTATGGCTGTTTGTCCACTTCTGATCTTTGGTTTTGTTCGAGATTTTTTTTTTTTTTTTTTTTTTTTCTTGCATATCCAATTTTCAGATTTGATGTGTTTAAGTATATACAGGCTATTGGTTTTTCACCACTCAAGCAGATGCACTTCGACTTCGAAGGAAACACCCCTACTTAGTTGCCTGTCGTGAAATTCTTGTTAAAGGAGCATTGCATATTAATTAATTTATTATTTACCTATTGATTTATTTAGTTGTTCAAAACAAGAGAGCTCCCGGATCCACGCGGGGAATGATTCCAGTCACTAGCTGTGATTTAAACAGACTTTGAACTGACAGTTATTAATTACTAACACACAAAACAATTTTTAGTTGGCAGACCTTGGGTTCGCAAAGAAGGCCCATTTTACCTGGACCTTGTGTGGGACCCCTCAATATTTGGCTCCAGAGATGATCCTGAACAAGGGATACGGGAAGTCTGTGGATTATTGGGGTCTGGGGATACTTATTTATGAGATGATCGCAGGTAATTCCGTTATATATATGTGAGTTAGGTGATTGTGTGTATTTGTTTGGGTTTTTTTATGTATGTGCTGACGAAGGCTTTATAGCCGCAACGCTTACGTTTTGTATGTATTTGTTATATTGTGAAGCTCGCTGATATACTTTTCGTTCGGTTCTATATCTTTCCGTTATATATGTGCTACGGCTATCGCATTCATTTCAAGTATAATGAGTTAATAGCTAACATGCTAGCACTCGGGACAATCCCATAAGTGCTCCATTCCCATCTTCAGCAGCAAACCAATTCTGATGGTGCAAAACAATTATGATAGTACCAGTAAAAGCGTGACTGTATGTCCTCCTCTCTCCTTGCCTAAGTGTTGAGATCCCCTGGTCATTCCTTATTGTATAATTGCTTCGAGCAGAGTGACAAGCTTCACTTGCAAGGTCACGGATAGTGAGCATACTTTGGATCTATGCCGGCGTGATGGAGAATGAACAGAAAGACAGATTGGCTGGATCTGCACTGATAAATGACAAGGTAGATGTAGTCAGAGCCCTTTGGGAACAAGTAACAAAGTCAGAAGAGAAACTAGATCATTATGGGCTGGAGAGAATGATGCACCTGGGTGTAACCAGAGGGTTCGGCGGGCACATTACACTCAGAGGAAAGGCAAGACGGACATACAACCAGACTACGACCGGCACCATAAGTATTGGAATTCTGCGCTGGCTGCTGAGGATGGGGACTGAGCGCGTATGTGATTGTCGCGAGTGCTATGATGTCAATTTTTGACTCAACTCAACTCTTTGTTGAATAATTTGTATAAAATCTTATACAAATCTCTGTGTTGTTTTTAAGTACAGGGTGTTTTTTGTTTTGTTTTTTCTAGGAAACAGTCTCTCAATCAAAAATACAATATTTTTTTTTTCAATTTAACACCATTATAGCTAAGATTAATTACTAAGTCGTCGGTAAATAGCAGTGATATTCTAAACTAACGGTTACATGTCGCCTGAAACATGACGCAATACACAGATTTGATTACGGTGCGCAAATATTTGATTTCGAAAAGTCGACAGTCATTAGACATACACCCTGTATAGTTAGTTGGTTGCGGGGGGTGAGATGCTCAGAGAGACCCAGAGAGATATTATATCAGAAACTATTAGCACCGCCTGAGACAGAAGGCTCTGGCAGACGTGATTACTAACGCTACATGATATAGACTATAAACAGAAGTTAGCTGACCAGTTAGATCCCTGTTTCCCAACCTCTTTTCAGTGTGTGTGTGTGTGTGTGTGTGTGTGCCGTGCCCCAAATGCGTATGCCCCCCTCCCCCCTCTTACGTAACTTAAACTCGAATTCCTCCCCCCCCCCCCACCTCCCAAACAAACAAACAATCAATCACGTTTGCCAGTGATTTAGTTAGTTAGTCAGTTGGCCAAGGCCGTGTATGCCTGCAACTATACAGTACACAGACAGGCTCCCATACGAAGCTTGGCGCTGGGAGACAGAACATGACTAGAGTAGAAGAAGAGGCAGAAGAAGTCAGTTATTATGTTGGCTGGTTAGTTCGCTGGCTGGTTAGTTCTTTGGCTGGCTGGTTGCTGGGTTAATTGGTTGGTTGGCTGGTTAGTTGCTATGTTAGTTGGTTGGTGAACCTCAGTGAATGTGTTTTTTCTATGGTCTCGGGCGACCTCTGTGAAAGGGTTTTTCGAACACCCCCCCCCCCCTCCCCCCCCCCCCTCCAGACCCGAAAGGGGTCACTGCCCACAGGTTGGGAACCGCTGTGTTAGGGGGAACGGAACTCGGTTGTAAGTCGAGGAAACACTGTAAATAGGAACGGAACTCGGTTGTAAGTCGAGGAAACCCTGTAACTACCTTCTGCCTTCTCGCCAGGCTACGTGCCGTTCGATCACAAGACACCGATCAAACTATACGAGATGATCGTCGAGTGCAAGGTGACGTATCCATCCGTGTTCAAGAATAACGCGGTGGAATTGCTGAACCATCTCATCGAGGTAATTTTGTCATGTATTTTGCTCTCTGGTGTGTGCAGCGGCTGGCTGAGAGGTCAGAGCCCTGGAGACCCGGGTTCGAATCCTCGGTAAGGCTGGGGATTTGGTTTCTACAGAGTTCGTGGCGAGGGCATCAGACATGTGTGCCCCTAAGAACCCAGTCTCAAAGATCTTTGTGACCTACACCGCAAAAGTGGTAAATAATGCAACTGGGCAGTTATGTAGGGATGAAATAAGAGACGGGGGGGGGGGGAGAATAATATGCGGAAAGACGAAGGTGAGGATAAACAGAAAGAAGCGACGAAGACAAAGATGAGGAGGGAGGTGAAGGTCAGAGAGAAAGAGGGTGGAGGAGAGAGTTTGAGGCGGCGGCAGCAACGAGAGAAGTGATGACGAGGACAAGGAAGGGAGGTAGCGAAGATGAGGAGGAAGACAAAGATGAAAACGGAGAGGGGTTGGGGGAGGGGGTGGGAAAGTTGGAGGCTGAAAGAGACAGAGGGAGATCGAGACAGAAGATGCTGGACAATATGACACCGTGATGTGGAAGATCATCTGTGTCAGAAATAAATGAAAGTACACGAAGCAGAGGGAGCCGCTGTGGCTTAGCGGCTAGACGATCGCAAGCATGTCCGAAGGTCCTAACAGAGCCGGCTTTTTTTTTTTCTTTTCTTTTTTTAATAACCTTGGTAAGTAAAGTTCCACCCACCCTTAAACGTGTACCTTGTAAAGCCCCGCTTGAGTAAAGGCAGCTGGCCTGATGCTGACCACCTCACCCACCCAGTGCCGACTGGTCTCTACGACAGGGTCTAGCCCTATGTGCCCAACACGCCTGAAGGCAGGGAAAGGGTCATTTACAGGAGACAGAAGGTTGTGGATAGACATGACAATCAACGCCACACAGCATAGACTTTAAGAAGAAGAACTCACTGTGCGTTCACAAGTCACTTTACATCACCCAGTCTGCACATTATTACTTAGTCACGACTGGCTTCAGAAAGCTGAAGAGGGCTGTGTTTGGCTATACACACGTAGAATTACTACATAAGGCAGTAATTCCGAAACTGTGCGCCGCGGTGCACCAGGGAGTCATACTTTGACTTGGGTTAGGACGCCGTGGAAAAATTGTAATTAAAAAAAAAGGCGCCGCGACTAAGAAAAGTTTAGGAAACACTAATATAAGGTATTTTACCAGCTTACTTGTAACCGGCTACCTGCCATACTGAATACCATGACACAACCGCTACACAAATGAAAGGCACCCCATATTTTAAAAAAAACAACCTAGCTCACAGTGCTGCACCAAGCACTAAACTCAGTAGCTCAGGCAGTGAAACGGGAGACTACCATCCAAATGTGGAACCCGCATTAGCAAAGCGCTGTCAGAAGCAAAAATGATGACTTCGAGGCTTAACATTCTGCCATGCTAAACCTCCTCTTTAGACCTGATGAACACTATTACCTATCTATCCCAACTGTAACTTTCACCCATGCTGTCATACAGTGTTACCACTGAAAACCTTTCAGACCTAGACAGGGGTTATTTTTCATAGGAAATGTTTAAGGTATAATAAACGAAAGAACGAACGAACTAACAGACTTTATTTTCAAAAGGTCACAAACTAGACACGCAAACCCTTCTTACATTTGGCACTTCCAAACACCATTCTTTTAAACAGTAATTCTATTTTATCAATATAGCATGTTATGTTTAAATAAAAATATGTATAATATGAATATCAAGGAAAAACACAATAGCAGGGATGGTCACATGCATGCGCGCATACGCCGACTCACTCACTCGCTTACACATGCATGTACATACATTCATGTGTACATAAATACATACACATAATACATACACATACACACGCACGCTTACATACATATATATATATATACTCACACATACATACACATAATACATACACACACGTATATATATATATATATACTCACACATACATACACATAATACATACACACACGTATATATATATATATATATATATATACTCACACATACATACACATAATACATACACACACGTATATATATATATATATACTCACACATACATACACATAATACATACACACACGTATATATATATATACTCACACATACATACACATATACACACGCACGCGCGCACACACACACACACAGCATGCATGCGCACACGCATCCACTCCTTGAGTTCTCCCCCCCCCCTCCTCGACAGAAAGTTATAAGGCTCTATCTAAGCCAGCCTCTCCAATCATGTGTGTGCTCTTTTGTGCGCGTGCATGTGATTTCTTAAACAAACATGTTATTATATTTATTGGCCATTTATCACATCATTACTATTTTAAATAATAGACAAACAAGGTTAAGACTTTTCCGCAAAAAGGTTTAATGGGAAGGGGGTGTTGGGCCTCCCCCCCCCCCCCCCACCATTTTTTCATTGTGTGATTGGTTGGCATTTTTCCGTTATTCCAGACGATAGTGTCATATTGCGCTATGAGGAGGCATGGGACTCCCAGCCCATGGCAACGTGACTACGACTAGCAAGACCCACCCGCGTAGTAGTAGTAGTCGTAGTAGTAGTAGTAGTAGTAGTAGTAGTAGTAGTAGTAGTAGTAGTAGTAGTAGTAGTAGTAGTAGTAGTAGTAGTAGTAGTAGTAGTAGTAGTACATTTTACCCCACCAGGACATCAGACAAACAAAAAACACCCGATGACACAAAGTGCCACCATGTGGATGAGGATCACCCGAGGAGAGATTTCGGAAACCCGCGTTCAGCCATTAGACCATATTTATGGCCGGGCAATAGCCAGAGTAGGGCTTCAAAATAATGAAAAATCGCATCTCACAAGGAGGTTACTAGCGACAACACCACCCGCGTAAAGAAGTTTTCCACAATTATAGCATGTGTTTTCAGGATCGTTGTTGTCATCATTAATGTATTTCTTCTCAAAAACTCAGCTCTCATCCTTCTCAGAGATTTTGTTCTCATGAATCCACCACAATACCTGTATCATTCATGTCCCGCTTACACACATCTTTATATCGTTGTATAGAACACCCGAGAATGAGTTATACTGGGGCTTGTTTGGGGCTTAAAGGGTTACAACTGCTTCATATTTTCCAGTAATGTATCATTTTGCATAACTTCCCCTGTTGAAGCCAGACGTCACTAAACGCTATGGCAACCTTAAGAACGCTGCCATGGATATAATCAACCACCACTGGTACTCCAAGGTAGACTGCAGGAAAATCCTCACCAAATGCTACAAGGCCCCCTGGATTCCTTGCGAGACATCCCTAACGGATGGGTCAAACTTCGACCGCCAAAAGGAAGAGTCTATTAAAATATCCAAAGTTGACAAATATCCGAATGAGTTTGCGGACTTTTAAGTGGTGTGTGTTTATTATTTAAAGAAATGAATAAATAAGAAATAATAGACTAAAATAAAGAATATGGATAATGTATATTTTAAATGTTTGAAAGCAATGTTTTTTGCCGTTCTCTTAAGAAAACTAAATGCTGAAATTGTTATTAATGTACATGTGCTGTCTTTATTTTATTCAATACTTAAAGGCGTGTGTGTATGCATGCGTGTGTGCATGTATGTATGTTAAAGACAGAGAGAAGAGAAAGTGTGTAATGACATGAGTGGGGAAAGAAGAAGTGAAGCTGGTGGTGTTTCAGGTATGAACTGACTAACACCAGGTTGTTGTTTTTTTAACGGTACGCGGTACCGCTTCCTTTTTTTCAGCACTACTGTAATGGACACTTTGAATTGAATATCAGCACCCTTTCAAAAGCTTTGTGGTGAGTGCTAGCACTGTGTTTCAAAAAAAAAAAGCTCTGACTTAAATTATTAAACGAACTTATTTGAAGTCTGCATTTTGAAACACTGCAAAACTATAAATTAATAAGTTCATACACCACATTACAAAAAATGAAAGAATATTTCAGACTAGGAAAGACTGCATTTTAAATTATTAAAGATCCGATACTCAAAATTATCCAAAAGTGGGAAATCTTCATTATGAAAGAGTGCATATTCTAGATGGCAAAACTCTAAATTATGAAAAAGTGGAAACTCTTTAACTATTTATGAAGGAAGGGTAGTGCCATCTCAACACATGGGCCCACCGTGCATTCCCCGGTGGTTGGGGGGGGGGGGGCATAGGAGCCCCATACTAATCTTTTTACATGAAGACCATTTATATTTCATTCCTATGCGTGGTCGTCCTAGGGGCCTCAGTACACTAGCTTGCTCAGGGGCCCACAATGTTAAGATGGACCTGAAGAAGGGCATATTTTGAATGGTAAATGAATGTTATTCAAGTTTACTCTTTTATCTACAATTCCCACATAGAGCATTAATGTTTAACTAATTCACAGGCAAATTCCCTCTACTTTTGTTTTATTCTACAATTTCATGTTTCTGTATGTTTTACAAACAAAAATAGTTCTGACCTGTGGTTTTCCACAGTATAACTTATACATCATCATCATGTGGTAGATCCTTTGCAGACCGTCAGCTGCCTGAAAGAAACTCAATCTCTTGTCACACCTCCCACACTTTCCTCCCCAAGGTATAACTTATATCCTGTACCCATCTTTGTACTGGATCTTTCAGAATTGTTCTTCCATTCTTGGTCCTTGGTATTCTGAGAATCTTTCTATAGCATTTCAGCTCAAAAGTCGATATTCTCTTCCTTAATGACTGCAAGAAAGTCCATGACTCACATCTGTATGTTGCTATAGGGAAGACGCAAGCCCTCCAAATTCTGACTGACTTTCTTGCTGGTGCTTAATCACAGACTGTTATGCTGTTTAATATTTGCATGGCTATAGCTATTCTCCTTTTGACTTCCGCTGAACGGTTTCCATTGCTCTTTTTCCAATTATTAGGTCCCCAGTTCTCCCGTCTCCAATTGCTAAAACTATCTCAATGGCTTTTACAAACATTCACCTATCTACAGATGAAATAATTAATTTACTCTACCATCAAATGCACACAAGAACAAGAGTGACCAATCCTGTACAAAAATAAAACAGTCCTATGCGGTAGATTTTTCTCTGTATGATGCAAGTCGTCGAAATGACACATCTGATAGCTTTGTGCTGTCGGATCAAAAGTTGAAATTGTAATAATATGATTTTGCTGCTTATGCCAACTCCCTTACAGTGCCGCCTGATGCAGCTAAATCTTTGTATCATAGCAGGACATGGCCCTGCTATAAAAGATGCTTTGCGTCATGAAATGATACATGAACAAAATTGTGAATATATATTTTTGAGTATCATATGAGCCTGGAAAGTAAACATTCATGTTCTGGAAAATAATTTTGAAAATGTATAATAATTTAATCATGCAATATTGTTTTCCTTTGGTTTACAATAAACAAAAATATCAAATATTTAATACTTTTCTCATGGTATGAAAGGTTGAATTTTCAGTTACTTACGAAAACTCTTCAAGTGTTTCAATTTATAGCTTTGCATGGGAACAGTCATCAAATGTAATAGCTGCCACACTAGTGGTCAAGCTGTGGTCAAGCAAGGTCTGGACATGCCACTAGCAGACAAAGGTCCATGACTGCAAAACTGGCCAGTTTAGCCAGATTCAACTTGCCCATAATAAAGGTGTAGCCCTGTTTACCAGCGTCTTTAATACAAATTTCAAATGTTCAATAAGATTTCTATAATTAAAAAGGAATTTATTTTTCCTTTACAGGAGGTTAACCAACCCCAGAGTTTTTTAGCTGTTGTTTTTTTTTTCTTAGCAAATTTTATGTTCAGTAGTTTGCCATTGCTTTCTGAAGTCAGCTACCATAGCCGAAACAAACCGTTCGATGCTGGGATCGAACCCGGAAACCTAGCATTATGAAGCGCATTCGCAACACCTAAGTCACAGACGCAGACTCTACAACTGGCAACTATTAAAAACCCCAGTGTTGTTGTTGTCTGTCTTTCATGATTAATTATACTCAGTCATTTCACGCACTAGTAAATGGATAAAAGAATGACTTGCCTAATGGTTTTGAGTGAGGAGCTGTTTCTACTGGAACAAGGCCTACAATTAAATTTGTTGAAAAACAAAGATGAAATGGTTTGGCAATTTAATAAGAATGAATCCAATGATGCAGCATACAACAAGAAAGTAGAAACACCAAGCGGTAGGGGATGCCCAAGAAGAAAATGGATTGAAAGAGTTACTGATATCTTGAGAATCCAAAACATCGGAGCAAACAGGGCAACTGAACATGCCCTAGCTCAGAAACCGATCATCTGTTAACCTGCAGCCCCTAGCGGCACAAAGCAGAAATTGGACAAAAGAAAAGAAAGAGGTTCTTTCTCTCACCATAAGTTCAGTGGTGATAAGTTGTGACGTCTGGAAATGTGGATTGCTGGCTCCATTTTGAAGGAGGAAAAAACAAACCCTCTGCTACTTAACAAGCATGTCATAAGAGGCAGCTAATAAAGGATTTCTTCAAATCGGATGTGGTGGGCTGAAAGACACAGATACTGCAGCCCAACTGTGAAACACAACACAATGTGCCAACAAGTCTATAAATACACAAATATTGGTAAAAATTCACATTTAAAATTAGTTTTGACAGACGAATAAGTACTTTTTAAGCAAAACAAATTCAACAACTTTGACTACTTCATTAGAATAAAAAATCCAGCACAGATTTGAATTTATTTTAATTGAATCAAGTTTCATTATTTATTTTTTTAAAACAAGTATAAACAAAACAAAAACAAATGCCTGAGGAAACTGGTGAACATTAATTAGGATAAGTTTAATTGTGCTAACGGTTGTAAGAGAAAGAAAACAGTTATGTATCTGGCACATTCTCGGATGAAGCAGGCAAGAAATCGCAACACAGACACAGTAACAGGAAACAAATGGAATGAGGAAGAGAGGATGTTCAAGAAAAGCCCTGTCACCCAGAGAAGCCGCAACACTGACACTTCTGGCTGGGTCCAATTCCACACACGTCACTTAGGTGTCACCTAAGAGACATGTTTATGAGACATAGTCTTCTTCTTCTTCATGTTCACCGGCTTTAGGCTCCGGTGGAAAGTTCTGATTGTTTGTTCACATCTGAACTCTAGCCCTGTTTCAGAACCTGGCTTTTACGTGTACATCCGTTTCACATGTCTGACTCATTTGCATGCAGACTGTCAGTTCCTTGCCTCTCAGACGGATGTAATCCGACTTCGAAGGAAGCTCCCAATTAGTTGACTCTTACGACATGCTTTTGGGTAGGCAGTGGGTCTACCTTTGTTTTCCCCACATTTGGGCCCCAGAACCCATACGGGGAATGAGACGCAGTGTTAACTATATTGGCTGTGATTGTGCTTGTACAACATTTAGGAGGTCAGGATATAAATATATTTACTAAAAATAGCATTTAGGAGGAGTTTCTTGTGAATCAAATAGTTTTTTTTTTAAGGCCAAGTAAACATCACATTTTCTCTGTAGTCTCAATAACAGAAATCGCTGGGTCATTGCACAAAGCACCCGAAACATATATGTTAAAGCCCCTGGGAATTAATTACATTTAATGTTTCATTGTGCTCATGTTAACAGATTACTCCCTTTATATACCTTTATAAATTTCTGAAAAAAATATCAATGTAGATAAATAAATTATTAAGACATTTAACAGTGACCAGTTAAAAATTTAAAAAAAAAATTTTTTTTAATGATTTATCAGGAATTCCCACAGGTTCACTGTCTTGTTTTATTTATTTATTTTTTTTTTTTTTGGCATTTGCTGGCCAAAAAAAGGGTGAGCATTCTTTCACAAGAAATGATAAAACAGACACTGAAATGTAATATAAACAGAATGCGGAGGCAAGAAAGAAACCTTATATAGCTCTTTAGAACTCTCTCACTTTAATTAACAAGACAGATTAACCAGAAATAGACAATAAAATAAGAAAAAGAAGTGAAATGAGGTTTCCAAGTAGAACCCTACATAGCTTGTAAGTACTCTCTTACAGCAACTGACAAAAATCAGTTTAATAAATTCTGTATCAGTGCATCAAAGAAAGAAAGCCTTTACATCCTAAACTTGCAAGAGTGTGCTCCAGTTTAACAGCAAAGTTGTTGAACATCAAACATCAGCTAGTTCATGTTGATAACCTGCAGCAATCCCAAACTGCCCTTCTGCTGCCTTGATAACGGGTGTCTCTCCTAGTTTCCGTTCCAGGCCCTTCCAGGATCTGCTGGCCAGGAACTCTCCTGCAGGAATAAAAACGTCATTGAAGCTTTAATATAATGGATTATAATCAGAGGTCTTAGTGCATTTGAGAGGATGCTAACTTTATCCTTGGAAAAGGACATTCAACTTGAAAACTGGTATAGCGGGGCAGAACAGGCTCTTAGCTTTGGTTGGCATCTAATTTAGGAGGGAAGCTCCGACAGGTGGTCAGGTATAGCACTGCTCTTTGATCCAGCAGCTTCTGCTTCAGCACCAGCACGTTTTGTTCCAGAATATTGGTGTTTCATTTCCTGAGGTAAACACCACAGGCAAGTGAGGGATCAGGCTAAATACCTTGCACCAATCATCATCATCATCAACTATTTCTGCCGTTAAGCGACACTGGGAGGAATAATTTGCGATCCAGTGCACGCTGGCTGCCACTGGCTATTGTCATGCCGTGAAAGCGCAGAGTGTCTTTAATGTTGTTGATCCATATTTTCCACGGCCATCCTCTTGCTCTTGAGCTGATCTTCTGAGATGTAGTGCTTGTGATGGTATTTGATCTTGCCATCTAACAAGATGGCCAAACCACTTGATCTGCTGTTTCTCAATGAATCTTGATGAATATGGGATGCAATTTTTCGTTATTTTAAAGCCCCACCCCAGCTGTAGTCTGGGGGCCTTAATATACCCTAACGGTTAAACGGGGTTTCACAGACTTGTACCCGGGTGATCCTTATCCAAATGAAGGCACTTTGTGTCACTGGGTGTTGGTAGCTTGTTGTAGGGTTGAACGACACACACAACAAGGATCATGCTGCATGGGCAATTCACGGTTTCTACTACTACCTAGACCTTGTACCCAGGAGAAGAGGAACTACATCCGTGGCTGTTTCCCATGCCTCTTTGTAACATATTATAACACCAACATCTGGAAAGACAGAAAGGTACCAACAAATGGTGGAACCTCTTTTTCTTATTCTTCTTTTGTCAATATCTGCTCATGTCGCTAGGTGTCGCAGTTCATCAGACGATCAGCAGCCGAGTCAGGGCGCTCAGTCACTTGATATGCTGCGATGTTATGCAGCCTCAAAGTGTCAGTGACTCCTTCAATCCATGTTCTCCTCGGTCTTCCCCTGCCTCTCAGTGTTTCAATTTTCAGGTTGTACGTTCTTGCTGCTTTTAAACCAAAAAAACTATAAGTAAAACAATAACTTAACTTAGTAGCATAAATATAGAAAAGAAAGACTCATTCTTCAGGGCAATTAGAAAGTTGAACGGACAGTTTCTCATGTGAGTTTTGGGGCCCCATTGTGGCAAAAACAAGAACAGCCCCACTGACTCCCCCATGAGCATTGTCGTAGGAGTTGACTAATTGGGCATCTTTTGAAATCGAAGGAGTGCATCTGCCTAAGAGTCATTGATACAAATAAGCTAGATCTGCAAAATGGATGTGCACACAGGTTCTGGATCATGACTTCATTCCAGAAGTGGACGAACAACCTGAACTTTTTACTGGAGTTGATAGCTAGTGAATGCGAAGAAGAATAAGAGAAGAAGAATGGTCAGTACAGAAGTGAATCATAGACATTTAGGAGATTGATGAAAAAATATGTGGTTGATTGGTAAAAGTGGTTTTATAGGAAATTATTAGAAAACCATGAACAGATTGAAAAACCTAATTAAAATGGCTTGATAGCAGTTAATTCAAGAGATGGGCAAAACTGGAAAATGTCATAACAATAGCAGAGATGAAAGCAGCTGAGTTAAGAACTAAAACTCCAGCAGATAGGACATTTCCCTAAGCACTCCAACCCAATCTTCAGCAGCCTGTGCTCTCCTGGTCACACCCCTCTGAGGGCAGAGTGTCGACCAGCTTTCCTGGTCACACCCCCCCCCCCCCCACCCTGAGTGCCGACCAGCTCTCCTGGTCCCACCCCCCCCCCCCTGAGTGCCGAGTGTCGACCAGCTCTCCTGGTCACACCCCCCCCCCCCCTGAGTGCTGAGTGTCAACCAGCTCTCCTGGTCACACCCCTCTGAGTGCCGAGTGTCGACCAGCTCTCCTGGTCACACCCCCCTGAGTGCTAAATGTCGACCAGCTCTCCTGGTCACTGCACCATTCTCTTTTGACCAGGATGATCTGTTTGTGCGTGCCTATGCCCTAGTCCCTAGCTCCCAAAGGACCTTGATAAAATCTGGTTTGTCATGCATCAATTTCCACCAACTGGTAAGAGAAGAGATGCAGAAGGAGACAAAGAGAGAAGATATTGGACGGTTTAGCATCAGACAGGGAGCTACCATGGTGTAGTAGCTAGTCACTCACTTTCAAAATCCAAAGTTCATGGTTCATGTCCTGACGGAGGAGGACTGTTTTTAAAAAGTGACATGGCTCCCAGATCAATCCAGCCTCAAATGTCTACCAGGCAAAGTCCTGGGAAGTAAAGGTGGCCAGCATGATGTTGACCACATCCGACACTGAGTGCCGACTGGTCTATAAAGTACATGTCTAGCTTAGATGCCCGAAGGAGTGGAAAAGGTTCCTTTCCCTTTCCCTTTTAAACATAGATGCCCGAAGGAGTGGAAAAGGTTCCTTTCCCTTTCCCTTTTAAACATTATGGCAAGGAAGAACAGTGATATCTGAAATAACTGACAGTGCTCGAGACAGACTGTGGACAAACCATGATTACCAATGACACATAAGATGGACTATAAGACAACACATCATCATGTAGCAGATCCTTTGCAGAACGTTGCTCTCATCACTGTCTGCCTGATGGAAACTTGGTCTTTCACCAACTCTCCCCCCTCATGTACTTTCACACTCAAGGAGTCACATATCCTGTGCCCATCTTCGTGTCGGTCTGTCCCAGCCCATCCTTCCTGGTACCATGCCTTCTGCTATAATTGTTTCTAATCTGTCATGGTGCTTGATATGGCCAAAATATTTCAGCTTCCAAGACAGGATGCTGTTTATTAGCCAATCTTCCTTGATGTTCAGATCTTTCAAAATGTCAGTATTTCTTCTCTTCTTTGTCCAAGATATTCTGAGAATCTTTCTATAGCATTTCAGCTCAAAAGTCCCTATTCTTTTTCTTAAAGACTATGAGACAACACACACAAAACAGAAAAAACAAAATGAAAAAATTTAAAGTTTACCAGCATTTTCAGCCAAAGAAGCCACTGCTAATGATTCAGATCTCAAAAGCAAATCTTGACTAGAGACACTGCTGACTCCTGTGGTCTCTTTAACACCCAGTGCTCTAACCCGATTGCTGATCAGTGACACATCAGTTCTAATGTTGTCTCCTTCCCCAGTGTCTGCATTCTCCACATGTAATGATGCTCCTGTGTTAATCAAATTATTCACTATAAACAACAAAACATCATCAAAAAAACAATGTTAATGTAATAAACAAATTCCATCTGGAGTCAGTAGTGCACTGGTCTATTCAGTGATTCAACTGATCTCTCTTCACTGAGTCAGATGATCACTTCGGTGAGTCACCTGATCCCTTCACTGGATCAACTGATGCTTTCACTGCGTCAGATGACCATCTCACTAAATCAGCTGATCACTTCAGTGAGTCAACTGGTCCCTTCAGTGTGTCAATTGATTCTTTCATTTAGTCAACTAGTCCCTTCAGTGAGTCAATTGATTTTTTCATTGAGTCAACTAGTCCCTTCAGTGAGTCAATTGATTATTTCATTGAGTCAACTTGTCCCTTCAGTGAGTCAATTGATTCATTCATTGAGTCAATGTCCCTGAGTCAGTTGATTCTTTCATTGAGTCAACTAGTCCCTTCAGTGAGTCAATTGATTCTTGAGTCAACTAGCCCCTTCAGTGAGTCGCCTGATTCTTTTATTGAGTCAACTAGTCCCTTCAGTGAGTCAATTGATTCTTTCATTGAGTCAATTGATTCTTTCATTGAGTCAACTAGTCCCTTCAGTGAGTCAGCTGATTCTTTCATTGAGTCAACTAGTCCCTTCAGTGAGTCAGCTGATTCTTTCATTGAGTCAACTAGTCCCTTCAGTGAGTCAGCTGATTCTTTCATTGAGTCAACTAGTCCCTTCAGTGAGTCAGCTGATTCTTTCATTGAGTCAACTAGTCCCTTCAGTGAGTCAGCTGTCCCAGTGAAAGGAAACTGTAGTTACACTATTATTAGGTTCTCTCACTGTATGTGCTATCCAGTGCTACCCTTTTTTTCCCTAATCTCTATTCACTTGAATAAATATTTTCTATACCAAAATCAAATGTTATGTATTCTCATCCTTACTGTATGGCACAGAGACATGGACAATGAACAAACAACCGGAAAAATCATATCAATTCTTTGAAGATGTGAATATACAGAAGATTAGGTCGTATTTCATGGAAACAAAAGCTATCAAATACAGAGGTACTGAGGAAATTGGGAATGAAAAGAGAGTTGCTAGGTGAAATAAAAAAGAGACAAATGAAATATTTTCGTCACATTAAAAGACATAACAGTATTGTAAAGATCATCCTAGAGGGAAAGGTTCAAGGTAGGCGAGCAAAAGTGGGAGGATAACAGTATGAGTGAGTGTACATCAAGGGCAAGAGACAGGGCTTGTTGGAGATCCATTGCAGCCAACCTTCATTGTGGAGACGGCACCTGATTGATTGATTGATACCAAAATCAACTTAATAAAAAGCAAAATTACAAGACAATATTTTTTTTTTAAAGTTCCTAAACAAATTAAAGAAAAGGTCGCTAAATGAATTACTTAAGCCCATAAAATATATTAATTTAATTAAACTACACATTAATATCAATTGGCCAGCTCCCTTTTTTTTGGGGGGGGAGGGGGGGGGGGGGGGGGTGCAATAATTTTTTAGCAAACACATAAAATCTTATATCAACTACTTCTGCATCAGCAATTAAAAGAGCAGCTGGCACACTGTGTTGTAGTTTACTGCTAGGCTGCTATTTCCGCATTTTTCTTACCAACACATCCGTATTCAGCAAACCCTTAAGTAGTAGTCTTTTATGACATACTTGTTTTGGGGGATGGGGTGTCTATTCTTTTTCCCTCAAAATTGAGGCCTCAGAACCCTCAAGGAGACAACAATTTACACGTAAAAGAAAACTACCATCAGGAAATACATTTACCTGGCAAAATGTCTCTGAAATCAGTGCTGTACTCCCCTGTCCACTCCCTTGCCTGGTTGCACGCAATCTCCATTTCCAATGGACTTACAATTGGACGATAGAAATCGCTCTGGTCCAGTAAGGTACTTTCTGGACAAGCTACCAGCACATAAATGTCCACTTCTGCAAAGTTTGCCAGTTTGGCCGGATTTAACTTGCCAACCACAAACGTGTAGCTCTTCTTGCCAGCTTTCTTCAACAGCAATTTCAAATGTTCAATAACATTTCTATAGCTAGCTACTCCTAAAGTCCCGACAACAATTCCTACAATATTTGCATCCTTTGCTCTTTCGATGAGATAATATCTTTTCATGAGAGCTTTGTTTACATTTAATGTTTCCTTACGGCTTTTCATATTTAAAGGATTATATGAATAAAACGGACATCTGTTAAATGTCATCATTAAATTCGTTAAGGATGAACCTTCTGTGTCCCCAATAAATATAAAACTGTAGCTATCTATGTCTTCTGTTATGGGTATTTCAATAGTCCTTCCATATTTACTGATAAATGATGAAGCAGGCTGGGATTTTGAGGAACTTGTAGCCTGTGAGGTGTGGTTCACAACTATATCATCTGCTACAGGTGAAGTAACAATGTCACTGACTTCCGAGCCTTGGCTTGTGGTTGAAGTCAGCAGATGCTTTGGAACTGCTAATTCTGATAAGATTAGGTGCTTGAAAATGCATCTGAGCTTGGAAAATATCTCATCTGGAACATACGAAAAGAGATTATTTTCTTTCTATCGCAATACGATTTAATGACAGTTCATTTAAACAAAAAAATGAAACACTCTTCTTTTTCTTCTTCTTTGTGTTAACTAGCTGTTAACTCAAGAGAAAAGTTCTGATCCATTTCTGGAAATCAGCCATATTTCCAAACTTGAGTTCTGCATGCATGCCAGTTTTACAGATCTCACTTATTTGTATGCAGACTGCTGGTTCCTTGCCTCTCGGTGCAGAGACACTCTGACTTTGAAGGAAACACCCTAAATTATTCAACTTTTACAACACGCTTGCTGGGGAGGGGACCAGGTCTGCTCTCTCCCTCCCTCCTTCCATACACCAAAATAGTGTCCCGGAACCCACACGAAGAATGAGACACTTCAGATGAAGGTAGCACCTTAACAGTCTTTCCCATTTGATGGGAATCTGCCGAACAAATCCAAAGGCCCGAGACATCATTTATACACTCCCTATGTGGGTTGCAGGGCCCAAATTATGAGGCAAAACAAGAATACACCCACTGCCGCCCCCCCCCCCCCATCCCCCTTTTTAACAATGGTGAAACTATGGGGGTGACTGCAGTCAAGCTAATACAATGAATTCCAGAGAAATTTGACTAAAAAGCTCAACAAAATGGGAAAGAGGAAAACGTGCACAAAACAACACAACGTTACGTTTCGGCCAGGCAGCCTTTTTCAAACACAAGTGGACTACACAAACGAGGAATGGAGAGTAACCTTTTTAACAAACATGTGGTAAAAGTCTACTAATTAGGGTTGTTTCTCTTGTCAGAAAGCATGTGTCTGAGAGGCGAGGATCCAACAATATACCTACAAATAAGCCATATTATTTTTTTTCTAAACAAGGTTTAAGCCCTTGAGTCCCTGCGCCCCACCCAGTAGAGCTAGGTGCACTGATCTGAGATTCTCCTGTGTAAGTGCCAATTTACTCAGGAGTGACTAAGTAAGCTAAAGTCACCTAAATGCTAAATGTTGTTTTGAGAAAATGATGTTCTAATTTGGTCTAGCAAATAAAAACTGTGTTGGGAACAAGGGGGGGGGGGGGAGACCCACTGCCTCTCTAACAAGCATGTCGGAAAAGTCTACTAATTAAGGGTTTCCTTATAAGTCGCAGTGCATGTCTCATAGGCAAGAAACCAACTGTCTGCCAGATCTGTCAAATGGATGTGCACACAAAACTCAAGTTCTGAAACAAGACTTAAGTCCAGAACTGAAATAACAGCCAGAACTTTCCGCCGGAGTTTACAACTGACAAGCGGAAAGAAGAAGAAGCATTTAAGTGATCTGACCTACCATCAACAATATGGGCATGCCCCAAGTTTGATGACTTCAGTATTGGATTCATAATTCTGACAAATTCTGTTCCATTTATTTTTTCCACTGTGTCTGTATAGTTCTGTATTGTATCACAGACATTAAGCTGTGCTAATATACAAAGAGATGTCAATAAGTAAGTTATAAATAGTTGTTTAAAAAAAAAAAAAATAAAGATGATAACAGATTGAAAACCATTTATTTTTACACATACACTGTCCCTTTATTTTTCAGCATAATTTCCACCAACATTAATGCACCTGTCCTATTGCTTTTTCAGTCCTCCCAAACCTGCTGCATAGAACTGCGTGCTTCATTTTCTAAACCACATTTTCACTTCAAATTCAACTTCTGCGTTATTTGCAAAATGTCCTAGGACAAGGTGGGCTTTCTCTTGACCGCTTTACAGGATAAACATTTGTCAACACAAACATGAAGAATTTCCCTATGAATGTCCTTTGCAGGCAGCCCTTTTGCCCCCCACCCCTTCCCCAAAAAACCACCACACAACAGCAAACTGTTCTTTGAAGCTAAACTCTGTAAGTACAGTCGCAATTCTGTTTCTGTGTTGCAAATGCGCATGCAACACCTAGCATCACCTAACGAACAGAGGCATAAAGTTTGATGTTGATGTCACCTAATGACACCTTTAGAAAGCACCAACTACATTTCCCTGCCATCCCATAACTATTTGTGACTTACTTATTGACTTCCTCTCGTACAAATAAGATTAAACAACAATCCTACAGTTTGGAAGCCAGACAGAAAATTTATGGGAAATTACTTGGGAGCTACACAGTTGTGGCTCTATGAAAGAATAATGAAAGTACTATGTACATATGACAAGCATAAACATATGTAGTTTTATACATAATACTAAGACATGGGTCATCTTAACAGCGCTATGGTCTGGGGGCAGCCTGTGTGCTTGGGTCCCTAAGACAATCACTCACAGGAATTTTTTTCTGAACCAACGGCACTTGATCAAAGCTCATTTGGCTCAGTCGTGAGCATCGAAGCCCTTCAGCCTTGGTGCCAGGTACACCGTTAATCTGGAGAGTATGCAACGTATCTGCCATCCCTCGGCTCGAACCCGAGACCAGATACTTATGAGGATTGTCACCGGACATCCAACACGCTATCAACCATGCTGGAGCGTTGGGCCTCACAAGAGTAATATATAAATGATCAATAAGATTAAACATATATTTATTTTATTGGCCCCTCAACAAAATTTGGGGAGGGGGGCGCAGGGTAGAGTGTGTGCGTGTGTGTGCTTGCATGTGCATGCGCGCGTGTATGTGTATACACTTTTGGTTTTATATTATATCAAATTAATTTAAACTTCTAATATATTTTTATTTATGGCAAGTCACTTTAAATACACAGATCATCATAGGACCCCTATGCTCATGGGACCCCCGAGCAAGTGCCCAGCAGGCCTACGCGCTAAGACAACCCTGCATCAAGGATGTTTAAAAAGCAAAATTAAAAATGTCTTGAGAGAAAGTAAAAAAACACTGGTTACAAGAAATCTTCCAAAATGAAAACATTATCTTTACCTATTGCATGTGAATACACTGTGTCGTAGACTAGTACTGCCTTCATATATGTATCTGAGCATACTTCTGCAAGCTGGTGCACACAGTCATCAACAATGATATTTGATTTCCCAAATATATACAGCACAGGCAGGCGGCCAGTTGGGCTCAAGCACGATCGACCAAAATGGATTATACAGTCAGCCTTGTAGTGTTGGGCACTTATTTCATCAACACAGCAGCTGGAAATAAATTAATTGTAACGGCTTTATTAATAATAATTTACAGTGAAACCTCGTTAACAAGAATTCCAAGGAAGTGAAAAATCATCAGTTTGTATTTCACATTTTTGCTAAGCAGGGACTAAGAAGGTACAGTGTTATTCAAAATGACAGATACACTTTTATTCATATATATTTCCTTGAGTATGCATTACATATTTATGGAACTCTGCGCTGGCTGCTGAAGATGGGGACAGAGAGCTTATGGGAATGATCTAAGTGCTGCAATGCCAGTTCTTGAATCAATTAAAAAAATGGAAGGGGCACCTCAAGTTGCCTGAGCATCCAGGTTTCAGTTCCTCTGTCACACAGGGAGTGTTTTCTTTCTTATAAAAAAGTAAAGGACCCTTATCAAAGACTTTAGGCACATAGGGCATATAGGGCTAGACCTATATTTTTATAAATCAATCGGGACAAGATGGGTTATGTGGTCAGCATCCTGCCGGCTGCCTTTACTTCCCAGGACTACACCCGGTACCCACTCAAGGCTGGGTTGACCTGGGAGCCAAGGTCATTTTGAAAATAGTCCATCTCCGCCAGGGAGCGAACCCACGACCTTCTGATCTGCAGCGAGCGTCTAGCCGCTCGGCCACGGTGACTCCCTTTCTTTTTTATACCCACTAAAAATATCAGTAATTTTTGCTAATTTCTTCTTCTTCAAGTTCACCAGCTGTAAACTCTGGCGGAAAGTTCTTGTTGTTCATCCACTTTTGGACTGCAGTTCTATTCCAGAACCTGAGTGTTGCGTGTGCATCCGTTTTACAGATCTGACTCATTTGTATGCAGACTGCTGGTTCCTTGCCTCTCAGGCAGATGCACTCTGACTTCGAAGGAAGCTCCCAATTAGTCGACTCTTACGACATGCTTTTAGGTAGACAGTGGGTCTAATCTTATTTTCCCTATAATAGGGCCCCGGAACCCACACGCGGATCTGCTAAAATGACACTTAGTAACTCTGCAATCAAGTTTCTTGTAGGAACTAACCTGCCATAGGAGGTATCCCCAAGAATAAAAACTAAGGCATCTTCAACTTTTTCTTGAATCCGAGCTGCCACGTAGGCTGCATCAACAAGCAGTTCGTCTGGAAACTGGAGTGCAACCTAGACAGAAATATCAGAGGTATATATGTAAGAAGTTGGAATCAAACAGTTTACAATGCATTGTAATATTAAAGTAGCCAAGATGATGATGAAAAGACAATGTATCAGTAATTCTGAATCATATGGGCTGTAAAAAGGGTTTGTGTAAATCAAAAGCTGCAGAGCTTTTTTTTTTTTCAGGTCTGAGGGTGACAAATCCCTGGTAGTTTAGTTTATAGGCTACAGTTGTCTCTTTATTAGCCCGTCATACAAACACATCACTCACTAGAATGGCAGACTTAGGAATTGAGATCGGCATAGCAAAAAACGAGACGCACACCAGACACGCCAGAGGACTTGTTAATCAACATAGAACTGGTACTATTAGCCATCGGACGTTGGGGTTCATACTGAGAAGAGGATCTGAGCACCTATGGACATGTCCAGAGTGCAATAATGATAACCCAACTAACTAACTAACTAACTAACTAACTAACAAACACAACCAATGGCATTAACTAGATGTCTCATTAAGCATGTCATTGTAGAAATGTCCATTAAGTGGCATTTACAGAGGATGAGATCCTGCCAGAAATGCCAGGGTTGCGGCTTCCTAGGGTAAAATGGTTAACAGGCATATGCCTCAGCTTTGCAGGTTATGTGAGAAATATCAAAGAAACTGTAAAAACATTACCCTCTTAAAACCACCTTGTGTGATCCACACTACAGATTTGTTGATTTCGTAAACATCGTCCACATTGTCTGTTTGTAAAGCTTGGGGCACACACTCAATCTTTCTTTGAATCACCTCTTCTCCAGAATTGAAAACCGTCACTGACATTTCAGGAGCTGTCAATTTACTGCAATAAATAATAAGTCATATGTGCTATTACCCATGAACAAAACTAGAAGAGATTATGTGAGGAATGAAGAAATTACAAGAACTATGAGAATAAACCTATAATTAAATTCATTAAAAACAAAAACAATAATGCCAGAAAAAAAAAAAAGAGCGTACAACACAAAAGTAGAAACAAGATGAGGTAGAGGGTAGCCAAGAAGAATATGGACTAAAAGAGTCACTGATACCTTGAGCCTCCAAAACATCCCGGAATGCAGAGTAATCGAGTGCGCCCTAGCTCAGATATTGATCACCATTTAACCACCAAGTGACACAAAGCAGAGATCTTTGGAATGGGTGAACCAGCCCTTCTGTTCTTTTTGTATTTAGCACTTTTCAGTGTCTCCGATATTTAATTGGTCCATCTTCTGCGTGGTCAACCTCTAGGTCTGTTACCACTGTATCTGTATAACACTGCTATTTGTGGTGCCCTGTCTTGATACATGGCCAAACCCTCTGTCTACCATTATTTTTCTACGAGTACTAAATAAACCACTGTTGATTTGCTGGACCAGTCACAGTGTTAACAACGCATGACTAAGTGTATCAAGTAATGTGTGTATCACCCTCACAATGAAGGTTGACTAGAGTGTATTCACTACTCACCGTTCTCAATCTCCAATCTCTTCCATCATGTGAAACTCATACTGCCACTCAAAAACCATGAAAGCTTTTTTTTTTTTAAACGTCTGCTGCGGAATTTAAACCCTAGTACTCAAGGATCCTGAAATTGTTAAAATCATTCACTGAATCAACCACAGAATTGTACACAGATGTCCCTGTGTGGGTCCAAGACCCCATTGTGGGGAAAACAAGAATAGACTCCTGCCTTCCCAAAAAAAGCATGTCGCAGGAGTTGACTAATTGGCAACTTATTTCCAAGTCAGAGTACATCTGCCAGAGTGGCAAGAAACAACCAACTGCACACAAATAAGTCAGTAAAATGGATGTACACACGAAATTCAGGTTCTGGCACAAAGACAAGGTCATAATGGACAAACAACCAGGCCTTTCCACCATAGCTTTCAGCCGGTAAACAAAGAAATAGAAGTACACAGATATTGAGAAGGGGGAGGGGGTGAGCTGGCTCCAACTAGAGCCACTTGTTCTAAATTTCCATACTTTATTGCCTGTGATTCAGAGTTAGATAGCTGGCCAAACATTTCTTTTATCAAAAGTCAACCATTCTGTTATTTTACTTCTGCTTTTTGCTATATTGAAATATAGATCAGCTCACTGATCTTCTTCTTCTTCTGCCTTTTATCCCCCCATGTAGCATAGGCCCTCAAGCGACTCATGCCACGTCGTTATATCCTTTGCTATTGCATGCAGATCACCCCATGTCCTCCATATCGTTTTAACTTTCCTCTAGATCACTTCTAACGTGTTTTTTGGTCTGCCTTTTTTTTTATGCCCATGTGGTTTCCAGTGCACAAATATTCTCAGGTTTCTCAATGTGTGTCTTATCCAACAACAGCGTATTTTTTACACCTCTTGGTCTAATGGAACTTGTTTAGTTCTCTCCGAAAGCTTCTTCTTCTTCTTCTTGTTCACCGGCTGTGAATTCCGGCGGTAAGTCACGGTTGTTCGTCCAAAATGGACTTTTGGCTTTTACCTTGACTTGAGTTTTGCGTGTACATCCGTTTTACTGGCTTATTTGTTTGCAGTACTCGTTCCCCGCCTCTCCGGCAGATGTACTCCGACTTAGGAGGAAGACGTCAAGCCTATTTCTAGGTTGACTGTGGCCATTGTTTTGTGTGGGTCGAGATGTTGCCTTATTTGTGTGGTGTCCTCTTTGACTTTTAACAAGTGTGGCCCCCGGCATGTCGTCCTTAAGGCAGCTCTATGTAGAGTTTTCAGCCCTCAAGGGAAGGCAGGGGCAGATCATGGGCATTCCCCGCCATCCAAGGAGGCTTCCATAAATGCAGAGCCGACACATGATGCTCTGGTTCTGGGCTCACCCAAGGAATCGTCACGTCCTGCCCATGACTGCTTAACCTCACAACCGTGTATAGAGCTTCCCGCGCTACAAGGCTGCGCTCTCCGGAGATCAGCGGGGAGCAGCCCGCAGGTCTAGGAAGTTTGTGGCCACACAAATAGGTACATTCTTTTTCATCTTACGTTAGACACCTTTAACGTTGTTTCAGCTGTGCCCTTAGCAAGACAGAATGGGGCAGCAAAATGCGTCAGGCGTGGCTTCACCTGTTTGGTCCCAACACTCGGGCGAGTTGGACCAGTGGATACGGACATTCAGACTTTTCCTAATCGGTACGAGTTATGATCGTCGGACTTTGAGCTTGCATGTGTGCCGTGGGGTGTAACTTTGTCGGACATTGTTTTCAAGCCAGCATATGAATAGTTGCTGCCATGGTGTACCTCAGCGCGGTGACGACGACACTGAGGATTGACAGAGGATGTACGTAGGTGGGATCTTGCTGCGAGAAGTCGCCCACAAGAGATGTTACTCGTCTTGGCTGCGGGTAAATCTCTCGGTCAGGGTTGAGTCTCAGCAGCACAGTTTTCCATTCCCTCCCGAATTTTAACCAAGAGTTGTCATTTGATGGTACATTTAGCAAGCAGTCCTTGAGTTTTGTTACTTTTCACCCATGCGTTTGGGGGCGGGCTGGTGAGAGCCAGAAAGGACTCTACACCTCTGGGGGCCGCCAGCTCCGAGATCCCCTGCCAACTCTGTTAATGCTCATTTGAGACTTTATCCGTGGCGCACGACGGGGACGTGCAACAGGAGTCTTGCATGAGGCTCCGTAAAACCAGAACAGTGAAGGACTGGCGCCCGAGTGGGGTACGGAATATCTCCTTATACACATCACATCAGACTTAACTTCCCCTCATGCCTGTGACCGAAATCACCGCGCCACTCCGAAAGCTTGATATTAGTTATTCTATCACACCATTTTATAATCAATTCCCTTTATTCTGCGCTAACTGATCTGTCGATATTTCCCGATATTTCCTTACTATCCCAAAATCAGAGGCAAGATAATTTATACATAATTAGTTTAGGGTTAGCCAGGACTAACCCTAACCTGAAGTAATATTAAATATTACACAACATTATTATGTGAAGACACAAACAATGGATTGTCTCCCTTACGGTCGCCGCCGTAAACAAACAGTAGAATGCGTCCCCCTATGGTCGCTGTTTTAAAGTGCCGAAAACTAGTAAGAGTTTCAATAGCAGTAAGTAGTATCCACCCACTTTGGTTACTCAATAGTCTGGGTATATAGTGCACCCCATTTAAATATATATGTATGTACATATATATATATAGGCTTTCACTCAGCTGAAGCCAATCTTCCCATCCTTTTTAGGATGCAATTTTTCGTTATTTGAAGCCCAAATCTGGCTCATGCCAGGGGCCGCAATATAGCCTGGCCATAAATATGGCCTAATGGCTGAACGCGGTTTCTGGGACCTCTCCACGGTGATCCTCACCCACATCGCCGAGCGTATCCCCCGCGCCGCTACGCGCGGCGCGGATGGGGGCTAAACTAGATGGCTGGGACTCACGAGTGGCAGCTACCGCATCTCCTGCAACTTCCTCCAATTACTGTACTCGTGAGTCCTAGGCACCTAGATACGCTCGGCGATAAGTTTAATCGCGTTTGGCGCATGCCGACAAGTCTGACATCTACCGCTGCTAAATCCTCCAATCAGAAGAACACAGTATTGCTAATCGTTTTCATCGTCTGTAATGTCTCGAAATTGGTCAACGGTCGCTAATATCGTCTGCTAGTATCGTCGTCTGCAGAAACGCTAGAAATTTTTGTCAACGGTCGGTATTTATCGTCTGCTACTAGTACCGTGTGCAATGTTGATAGTGATTGTCAAGTAATCCTAGTTTTGCCGCGATTATTTGTCCCTTGGCTGACAGTCCGTATTTTAGATGTACGGGAACACCGTCGTTCGGATATTTTTGGATATTTTATGGCCAGAATGTGGCATGCCGCCATTTTGGGGAATGGATCAAAGAAGCGCCGAAAATTTGACCAAAGTACCTTACTTACACGGACAGCCTGGAAAATAATTAAGTCAAATAACATTACTAAAATTATAGCAGTATAGGAATTTACCGGGGGTATTTCAAATGTTGTAAGTCTGTGTGGTGCTATCTCATCTGCGTCTAGTAAACCATTAACTACTGCCCATCTCGTCCTTATCCAACAATTGTTCACCTGTCAACAAAACAATAGTCCACATGCAACCATCTCTATTTTCATATAACGTTGTTTCTTTCACTGAAGATTCATCCCTTATGAGGCAGAGTTACTGTTCTTACATTGATGCAGCGGCTCTGAGTTGAATTGAGAACTGACATCACAGCACTCGGGGCATTCCCATGTATGCTCCGTCCTCATCTTCAGCAGCCAACGCAGAGTTAAAATACTGATGGTACCGGTCACAATATAGTTAACAGTTAGTTTTGCCTTTCCTCTGAGTGTAGTAAGCCGACCAGACCCTCTGGTGCCTCATTCTCTTGATAACATGCTTTATTGGTAAAATACAACTGCTGTGCGAAAGATGGTTGACTGGAAGGGCCGAATGTAGGACGGGCCTGCGTGCCCAATTTGTGACCCTTTGAAAATAAAGTTCGTTCGTTCGACGTTATCTTAATCTTCAGCGGCTCTCAAACTGGGTGCCGTGGCTCCCTGAGGTGCCGCGAGCGTATGCTAGGGTTGTCGCTGCAATAATCAAGAATTTTTCAAAATTCAGCGAATACAGAAGTTTAAAACAGAAATACCACGAAGGAAGCCAAGAAGAGTTTAGGATGTAGGTGTATTCAGAAGACAATGCTATTGGGCAAGGCTGCAGTGCATTCTCAGCGAACGCTTACATTAAACAACAGATACATTGGTTTGAAGGTTAAAGGAACTAAGCGTCTTATGTACATAAAAAAAAAATATTGAAATGGGCATCAAAA